GGAAGGCGCAAAATGATGTTGGCGTGCTTGCTTTACTCCTCGCAGTTACCAGGAATGCAGAATTAATCAGAAAACAGCCAAATTGACACTCCAATCTACTACTGTATAAACCCTACTACAGACTGTACTGTGCGTAAGGTTTAGTATCGAATGAAAGTACTTGAAATCGTAAGCGTTCAGAAACTAAGCCAATCGATCACCGTACGTACACTGTAGAACCGTCATAAGAAGTCAAGCACTCATTGTAGTACAGTATTGTACGAATCTGCAAGGCCTTCGAAAGTCTCATCACTACAGTTAGTTAGGACCCGTCTGGCCACATGAAATATTACAATATTCAGTCCCAAAACGCCATTTTGGGACCGAATTCAACAAATCTGATCAAAATTGAAACATATCTTGCTTGAAGAGATTTAACCCAAATCCAATAATTCCACGCGGGGTTTACAGTATTATACTCGTTGAAGAGGTACAAAACGCCATATTACAAAATGGGTCTTTTAAGCATACCTCCATTTTGAAAATGGCATTTTTGGTTATCCCATTTTGCCAGAAAATGGAATATTATTTGTGAAATGTTACCAGACGCACCCTACAAAACAATTTTGTGGATAGGGTAAATCGCTTCTCAAATCGAACGAGTGGTTCGTATACTGTACTCATTGCTGGCCTGCAGTCTCCGTCAAATGGATCAGGTCCTTGATGAGATATCTGCCGAGAGCCTGTTCATTCTATTACATCTGACAGTACAATCCGTGGCAAGCTTACGAGCATCCCCAACCGGTGCGACTGTAAACGCTATTATACAGTTCTATCCGGATTATTTACAGTTTTGACAACCCCACCGGGCGACTGTAAAATACAGGAAACTGTATAATTTTACCGCGAGACTGCAAATCGGCCAGATTTACAGTCGCGACTGTAAAATACAGTTTCGATGAATTAGCCAATAACATGTTATCAATGGATAATTTTGTCCAATCATCGGTGTCATGTAGTTGACGGAAAGCCAATAATCACTTTCCTTCGAGCAAATGGATCCTTCAACTGCGCTCGTGGCTCACACTTCACTGTACATTGGCCACCCAACCAAAGCATAACTTTCACTGAGCAGTGACACAAGTTATCAGGTGTGAATGACCGATTTTCCTTACTTCCATCCACCCGTTGCTTAGAACAGTCGTCATTCTCAACCGCATCGTCCATGGTGAGTCCATGTACTTCGAAGTACCTAAAGTGGCAGCCTACTATTGACTATACTGTATAGGGTGGGAAGGTGGTCAAGGATCGTACAAGGGAATTCCACATCATCACCGTAAACTAATGCCTCCGGGTTCATCTCCGGGTATGATAATTATGCGGATTTTTTACCGTTTTACCGCTGGGGTTGACGAAAATCAAAATACTGGAACTGTAAAACGGCATTTTACAGTCTCATTATACAGTCTTACCGGTGGGGATGCCCTAACGTTATTAATCCAGCTTGCGCTGCCAACAGCATGCAGAAATCCACCGGAACGATATCGGTACAACAAACTACTACGTAGTATTGTCCTTTTATCCCAATTTTGGACTCTTGTGCTGATTCGCCAAATCTATCGATCGATTCTTTGCACTGATTTTTGAATATGAAAAAGTGTCCCGGTGATTGTATTCACACTAACTTCGGTCACACACTAGTTCGATGTCGGTGATGGTTTATCATGGTATTTCTCAATATTTCGACAAATATCAAGATATTTTCAATTAAGTTGTAATGTCGTGTCTGGATCCTTGTAACTGAGCTCGTCGTAAAATATCCTTTGACACAAGCTTGTTCGTTGGGGGTGGGCCTGGACTTGCCTGTCCTGCTGCGCTCCATCATGATGCCTTCATGTTGACAAAGTCATCGTGCAACAAGC